TTGGTGTCTTCTGGCGGGGCTGGGAGGTTCCCCCTTTTTGGTTCTATCAAGAAGCAGTGGCAGAAATCAAAAGCAGACACTTTCTTGGGCAGGGTCAAAGGGGCAGGAAAACCTCCCCAGTCTCTGCCTGCAAACTACGGAGAAACAGAACTTGCTGAGGGAAGGGAGTCAGCTGAAGACCTCTCCGTCCCCATCCTCAAAGCTGATTTTTTTTCACTGTGGTTTGCATAGGAGTTTTTATGGAGGGTTTGTATGCATGCTTGTGCCATCTGTATGTGTGAATATAATGGACAAACACGAGCAACTTTATAGAGAGAGACGCATGGAGTCACTTGCGTTGCTTCGTACTGCTCTTACTTAGTCCAGATATTTAAGGGATTCCTGATTTCCTTCCAATATTGCACCTGTCACAGTAGGAGGAACCCAGGGTGGGGTGGGGGTGACATCCATGACTGCAGGGCACTAGTGGGCACATGCCCCCACCTTGCCGGGGGGGGGGTGTTCAGCCGGTTCTTCCTCCACACTTGTCTTGAGCCAGGATCGGGTGACCTTTCCTCACTTCCTCCCATCCTGCTTCAACAGTCCAGTGCCTCCTCCTGAATTTTTTTTCTATCTCCCACCCTTTCCTTTCCATTGTTCTCTCACCCCCTACTTGCCCATCAGGTTTATAAACACAGGCGTGGCCTCAGGGCTGCAAAGTTGAATGCTTCAAATCGTTCTAGAAAACCTATGGCTTTTCCATACCCTAAAACCTCTAGCAATCTATTTTTGGCAGTTTTTCCCTCTCTCCCCCTGCTTTCCTCTGTCAGAGTCCCCAAAATTTTCACCACCATTTCAGTGGGCATGGCTAGTGGGGGTGTCATGTGACTGAGTGGGCGTGAGTGATGTCAAATTGTCCACACCCACCTCAGTCACATGTCCCCAACACAATCTAACCACGACCACAAAACTGGTAGTAGAAACTTTTGAAACCCACCCAACTCTGTTGAGATTAATGTCAGGCACAGGCAACCAGAAAGGCTCTGGAAATTAGATAAAAAGGTTTCTTTATGGTTGATTCAACAGTTCACAAGAATATCACCAAATTGATAAGCTTCCCTTGGGAGTGCCTGATACAGCCTAAGAAGTGTTTGATCTCTCTCTCCCTCACTCCCCATTGAATCCAAAGCAAGAATATTTCATAACTCCCCCTTTAAAGGCTTTCTTCCATTCAGCTGCAGAATATATCACAGTTGTAGTTGTTAACCAAAAATCATGGGTCACAGAGTACCCACCCGGTCCAAGCCATGCTGGGATCGTCTTTGGTAAAAAAAAAGGGACTATCTCCAATCCATAAATATTTTTCAAGAACTAATTGTGATTATTTTGGACTGCAGACTTTCTGGAGAGATCCAGACTCAATCTTTCAGCAGGCATGTTGCAGAAGTACTCAGGACAAACCAGAGATTGAGAACGTTATACTTGGGCATCCACTCCCCAGAAGACAAAGAAATGGAACTATTGTGCGATGGGCTCAAACATCCACAATGCACAATAGAGACATTAGGGTAAGTGACTATTTACTTTCAGTTTGATCTGCATAAGTGTCTTTTGCCTGTTAATATTTTAGAAATATATCTAGAGAATCAATTTAGTTGCCATACACGGCCCTATTCTCTTCAGTTCCTATAAAATACATTGCATTCTTAATATTCAAGAAATTGTAATTTTTCATATTTGTTTCTGGTGGGGTTGGAACAGGGGACAGGTGGTAGGTCAGTGGCTATGGCAAAACTCTCTGAATGTCCTAGAGTGGCCCAACCAGAGCCCTGACTTGAACCCTAATGTGCCTCTCTGGAGGGGCCTGAGAATGGCTGTCCTTTGCCGGTTGTCATCCAACCTGACTGCGCATGAGAGGATTTGCAAGGAAGAATAACAGA